TTCCAAGTCTTTTTACTATTATTTTTTTCTTCTCATTTGTTCCTGGCTTCTCTGTTGCTCCTTCTTTTTAAAATTATTGTTTCTTTAAACATTTTAGAACTGTGTGTTGGACCACTGAAGTGAACTTGCAGTATGACATTAACAGTTGCTATCTGTGGCTTTGTAAAGTAGACTGTTACAGAGAAGCACCCAGAGCTGCTGGATTTTCATAACCATTTGTCAGGGACTGTCTGTTTCCCCCTCTTCTTCCATCTGGGGTTTTTTTTTTCCATTTTTGCCCAAATTAGTAGACATTTTTCGTTGTTAATGACTTAAAACATTCTTTGGTTCTTTTGCAGTTGTGACTGCATATGGTGATCAGAAGAAGTGTCATTAAGGATTGTACTTGTCTATTCTTGAATGCTTTTACAGATAGATGTGGGAATTTAGGGTGCAGTATCAGTTCCAGAATAATTATGTGTGAGGATATGCTGTTTCTGGAGTTAATCCAGACTAATACCGTATGTAGAAGGGCTTTACCAACCATCTTACTTTGTTTAAATCTTTCATAAGAGATTTACTATTAGTGACCTAAATTGTAGGACTGTAACATATTTCAGATATGGAAATGTCTTATCTTTAACTCTGAAGTTTTTAATTTGCTTTTAACTTTGCCCCTTTTGAGGTTGTATGTGCACGAAACTTGTTTACTTTAATGGTATGTTATCACTGCCGCAGCAAATTGCAAGAGCTTAGTATGAACCTGCCCGAGAGCATCACCTTGAAAACACAGTCCACAACATCACAGCATATTGAAGTTTCTGCTTGTGCATGATCTTATGGGACTTAGCATAAGCACAGGCTGAATTTATGTAAGCTGGCTGCAGTGATTGGTCAATAAAAATGTAGTTGCTGTGGACAAACCATACGTGAGCCAGTTAACACAGGAGATCTTAAAGTTGTTAACTTTGCAAGATAAGTCTGTGCATTTCAAAAGATATAAAATGTGAATTGGTCACACTTGCAGTATATGCAGTGAATATTTTTGTACAAATAACGCCAATCCTTTACACAGCAAGGGCAATGCTGAATGTGCTGTTTCTCTTGTGTAGAGATTATATGGACCGTCTCCTGGATGAAAGTGAAAGTGCTGCTTCCAGTAGAGCTCCGTCCCCTCCTCCTACAACTTCCAACAGCAGCACCAGCCAGTCTGAAAGGGAAGACAGCACAACCAGCAACAGTAATCAGAATGGTAAGCGCGTGCCCTGTCCCTTCTAAACAGAGTTGCCAAATCATCGCAGATGACAAGCCAAATGAGAAGTTCAGCTTGCCTCTCTAAAAACAAGTCTGTTGTAGTTTCAAATATTTTCCAAGGTGTTAGCAGCTTTAAGTTAAAAATGCTTTTTAAAAAAGCTACATGTTTGCGTTTAGCCAGTGGTCACATGAATCTGCACTAGAATCTTCCTTTTAAATGTAAACATCTGTTATTGTCTTCCCCATGCTAGTGTAGTGTAATGCTAACTTTGTGAGGAGTCCTGTGCAGGATACTTAAAACAACTGAGATGAGAACTGGGCTATCCTGCCAGCACGCTAGTGCTTCTCTGGTGCTTGGCTCAGGAACACCGTTAGCTATTCTTACCAGACGTGGGGCATTGAAGGGCAGTTAGGAATGGGAGGAGAGCCAGGGCACGATCACTCGTGAAGGAAGAAAACCTCAAAAGCAAGGGATAGCTGTTCGGAAGGAGCTGAAGTGAAAGCAGTAGCAAGAGGAGGGAGGAGCTTGGGGGCTGAATCAGATTGTGAAAATCAAGTGGAAGCTACAGAAACTGCCCAGGTGAGGACAGTCCACCTGCAGCTTGTACAGTTATGGGATTCTAGGACATTTTCTTGGCTGCTGTTGCTTGTAAGGGCTTCCATAAACTCCATCGTGGTAAGTCTGTCATTTGTATGCAAATAAATCACTCGTTCATCACACAATGAGGATACAGAGAACAATATTGGCTTTTTAGTTCAATAGGACTAGTTCGACTTCTGCTTTATTGAGCTGTCACACATTGTTCTGTTACTGCTTACACTTCTGTTCTCTTTCTTATGGTATGTCTCTGTAACGCAGGCGTGTCTGCTAATGGGCCAGGTGAGATACCAAATAAAGATGAAGCAAAAATTGAAGGATTGCATGTAAATGGACCTACCAGTGGCAAGAAAACACCTCACACGGATCTGGATACAAATGGGTATGAAACTGAAAACCTTTCCATTGATCCAAAACTTGCTCATTCAGCTTCAAGAAACGAAAATGATTTTGAAGAAAAAAACGAAAGACCTCTAAAAAGAAGAAGAATTAACAGCAATGGAAAAGAGAGCCCAGGTTCTTCAGAGTTCTTCCAAGAAGCAAACTCACACGGGAAGCTTGAAGAACTAGAAACTTTGGATGACTGAATACTAGGAGCTGATTTTATTCCTTGGAGTAAATTCTGGGTGTCTAAAATTTTCAGGGTTGATGGGTTACCTTACAAAATCCAGTTCCGTAAAACAATCTGCTGAGGTTTTTTCTAATACCTTCTACTTGGCTCTTAAGATCTGATTATTTGGTTTTTTCCAGTGCTGAAAAGCAGTAGGAGAATATTCCATTTCTCAGAGCTGGCAACTGTAGTTCTGGGAACTCTAAGGCTCTTAAAAATATTTGAGAAACAAATCGGTGAGTTTCTGCAAAAATACTCCCAGCCTAATATGTTAAAGAATCTTCTGTGTGTAATACATCATTTAAGCATTGTACAAGTGAACAAAGCATCCTATTTGAAGCAGGGGGCTGGTTCAAATGTTGCAGGAAGTTAAAATGAAATACAGAATGCCAAGACACGCATCAGAGTAGGCACAGAGACTTCCACTCATGCTAGTGAGAGGAAAGTGTCATCCCATTGTTAAGGAACCCTTATGAATCCTGAAAGTTACGAGCACAACTATTTTTATATATAGAAGTTTTAAAAGGTAAATAAATAAACCAGGTCAGGTTTGTATATGTAAAATTGTTGACATCAATGATGTCTTTCCATATTCTTTATCTGGGCTAAAGAAATACATTCTGTATTTTTCCAGATTTCTTTGTAGCCTTTGAAAGATTTTTACAGTACTTATGTCTTGATTGAACTGTCCTTTCTTAAAACAAAAGCTTGTATAATTTTCTTAACTTGTACAGTTGGTAAACTTTTATGAGAGAATTGATATCCTGAGTCTAATGTCAGCTTCATTTTATTTTGCTGAAGTCTTTTCTAAAAAAAAAAAACCAACAAAAAAACCCCAAACCAAACCAATTGACTTAAAAAATGCTGATTAGTCACCAACAGTTCTTTTCTTCTCAGAAAACAGTAAACAATTAACACCAAGAATGGTTGGAAGTCATTTGATTTTGAAAACATGTTTTTTCTTCTGTTTTATGGCAAATAGTGATGCTAAAAATTTGTTAAGCACGATGCTTGCGTTGCACAAATTTTCTTGCTTTCATTATACATTTTCTCATTTTATTTTGAGCTCAGATAAATTTCACATCAGCCAAATGCTTAAGTTCACTAAACCTTGTTCGCCAAGATCAGGTGTTGGATTACCCATTGATTTATTTTCAGTCTATCTATCATCTTCTACATTTCGCTGACCACAGGAAGGGTAGGAAATGGGTCAAGTGATTCTGGCTGTACAGGTTAGAAATGGACGTGCAGCTGGTAACCTGGTGCCTGATCTTGAATTTCTGAAAACCAGTGGACCTTATATGGATGGGTATTTCAGTGGGAGCAGAAACATCGCATACACATGCTTGGTAGAGCATATACACATATATACACTCAGTATATAGAGATTCACATGGGTAAGAAGTGAGAGTAGGTATGGGTAACTGGTTTATGATTAAAGTGCGAGAAACGAAAACTCTTTGTAAAAGTGTGTGGAGGGGGTGATGCTCACCGTCCCACCAGCATAATTTGAAAGTTGTTGAAGTAGGGTTTACATCCATGAAATAGCAAGATTTTTAATACTGGTGTTTTGGGTTTTTTCTTTTTTTTTTTTTTAAGCCACAGCTACACATCTACTGTATTAAAAATAGGGAAAATTGTTCATTTGTATAATTTATAATCTTATCTCCTCCTCCTGTGGCTTACAGGAGTGCTGTTAATTTTTAATTGGTTATTTTTACTTAAAGTTTATGAGTCTTTACAATTCCAGTTTTAAATGTACGGTCCTATGGTTTGAAACTAATGTATCAACCTAAAAAAAACAACCGCTAAGGGTTTTGTTTGTTTTATCTCCTTCAACTACACGTACTTGGACTTTATGGTCATTAATGAGCCAAATCTTCTGCGTCCGGCCTGGCTCCACCACCATGATGAGTTACTGGAGCGTATTAACCTGCTGTTCCCAGAAACGTTGGGAATGATCCATTCTAACTGGTTCAGCTGATGTGCAGAAGTTGACATCTGCCTAGAATTAGACAGCAATTTATGTGGAGAGGCACATCGGTAAGGTTTGCTAACGTATGGCCTGCATTAATCAATTAAGTGATTGATTAATTAAGCAATTGCTTTAGCAAGAGGGTGCTGTTAACTTTACAATCTGGTTTATTAATGGAAACCAAAGTATCACAGCCTTATATTGAAGATGGTCTTGAGACGGTTTCAGACTGAGGGCAGTGCAGTGCTTCTAAGAGTCTTTGCAGCTAGAGTCCTATTTTCAGTTTTATTTTTATGCATTTTTGTTTGCAAGTTGGAAATACTTCCAAAAATTTATAGGAAAGTTCATAAGTAAATTGTCTCAGGCTTGTGTGTGAAATACAGCACTGTGTATATTTTCAGGAATGTTGCTTTGTTTTTCATCTTACCTTTTTTTGGTGATACGTAGAAGAGACCTGACATTCCATAATCAACAAATATGTAATGCTCAGCTAGACTTTAAGAATATTTAATTATAATTTACATTTTGTTTATGCTGGTGTTTTATACAATACTTTGTTCATGTTCTTCAAAATGCAGCCACTATAACTTGATAAGTCATTGCACTACTAAAGCTATTTAAAATTCTAGAAATATAGTAACTTTGATTTCATTTAAAAAGCTTTCAGTACGGTTTGGAGCCCAGAAGTGTGTTCAGCGTGTTTCCAAGCTGTGTTGAAAAGATCACAACTTGCGTGTGACATTTGGGTCTGGTTTTCAAGCACTATCATGATCGGTTCAGCTGGAGCGGGCGTCCTGCATTCATGAAGTGCTTTAAGACTGCAGCCTGAACGGAGAATCCAGTTCAACAGAATAAATCCTTGCTGGGCTTTCTAAAGGATTAAACATGATATTAAAAAAACTACACACACACAATTTACATACCAGTTTTATACATTTTTCCACACATAGGAATTTTGCACTGTTAGTAATTCCCTTCTCTTATCCCCGCTCCCTGTCTGCAATTCTGAAAAAGCTTATTAAAATATTTTTTTAAACGTACTGTTTGCATAAAAAATCGCTGAGTTTTTTGAGCAAAACAGCAGGTAGAGTATTTCTGCCTACAGAGGATGCGAACACCCCATCCCCTTGTAGCAGTGTGGTGGTAGTGACTCTGTTACTGCTGTGGTGAAAACCACAGAAACAAAATACCCTTTTCTGGTTGAACTTTGAACCGTTTCTTTCATTCCCCTAAAACCAGGCTGCTCTCACACCCTTCCTCACAAGGCTTTCCCAGGGCCACTCAGGGCAGGCGTAGGCCAGAGCTGGGCGTTACTCCGAGCAGCTGGAGGGGCGGTGGGTCCGCCTGGGGGGAAGTGGGGTTTGCCGTACGCTTTAAACTACAGGCAGCGTAATGTGAAGGAGGACAGAGGATTTGGTGCTGCTGTCATTGAGGACGGACAGGACTCGGAAGGGCAGCAGTGGGTTAGCTGTGGGTTACACATGTACAGTTAATTTCTATTTCTAAGTCAAAGGCCCGGGAAGTCACAACACTGCTGTTACTTGCAGCCAGAAAGCACCAGGCAGGAGGTGTGGCAGGGCCCTGCTACAGCAGGAGCCCTCTTGCTGACTTTGCGACTAGCTCTTGTTCTGCAGTTACCTTGCGCACACAGCACCAACAGTTTTTTGAATGGGAGCATTAAGCACCTCAGAGTGCCACATTCCCCCATATAACACATCAAGGCCCGCGTAACAGCTTGGGCTGGCTGGGGAGAAGGAGAGGGACTGATTTTATTGCACTGGGGTTTTTTTTGTGTCAGTTGGTTGGTGTTTTTCCCATTAGGACCTTTTCCCTTCCTCAAAGAATATTTAAAGCTGAAAACGCAAGAGACCCAAGAGACCTCCCTCACCCCCGCTTCCTCCACACCTACCAGAGTACGCACAGAAGGGACAACAAACATGCTACAACAGGGCTGCTGGGGGAGCCCGGCTGCACCCGTTTTATTTGGCCTCAGCCGCTTCGTCGTCTCCAGCCTTTTATCTTCTTGCTGCTACAGGGAAGCGAGGGCCAGCCCCTGGGCAGAAGGCAAGAGCAGGCGGGGTAGGAGGAGGGAAGGTCATTGGTTTATTTGAAGCCAGTACAAAAATACATAGGCACATAAAATCACTTTTGCTGTCATCGCTGACTGACATATAAAGCCTGCCGTACATTCAAATAAAAAGGTCACCCTTTTAATTACTAAAATGGTCATTTTGTAAATATTCTATATAGAAAAAATTTTAGTCAATTAATAGCGTAGAAAATACTGTTGTAGGAACTCTGTTCACTTTCCCAGTGTATACAATACCATCCAGACTCTGGCACTGAAGTGTGCCCCGTTACAAACAAAATAAGCTTTAAAAATATTTTACTATTTGGACAATAAATCTAACCAGTAGATTCAAAAATAAACAAAAATCAAAACTTTTGACAGAACCGACATCCTGACTGCGAACGCCTCAGCACAGCGAGGTTACAAGCAAACGTGGCAAAAAGTGATTTCCAAATATTTCTGTTCAAGCAAGCGAGACGAATGCGCAGGCCTGGCTGAAGGACGGGGGTTTGATCCGGTCCGGCACCGGTGAGAGCACGCGCTGGAGGGGGCTGCGGCAGCTGGAAGCTGCAGGGACCAGGGGACCCCAGG